TTAATTTTTTTTATTAAAATCTTGAATTCAAATCATATGAATAAAAAATAATTATGTAAAAATTAGCAAGTAAAATGCTCAAAAGAGATGTCCTCATGATCACATTATATTTGCTAAGGTTTCATAAGTTTTTAAATATTCTATCATTTTATAAATTCTTTTAAAATAGTTATAAGTTATAATGATTTAAAATATCTATTTATAACTTAATTTTAATTTATTAAACAATAAATATTTAATGAATTTTTTTTAGTTTATACTCTTAAAACATACATTAAGAATATATATTATATTTTTTAATCATTAATTTATATGAAAAAATTAATATTAATTTTAATATTAATATTATATATCTTAATTTAATTAATGAATTATTAAAATTAAAATCAAATTTTATTCTTTTTATATAAATTATCTTTATTAATGACTTTCTTTAAAAATTTTATATTTTATTAATTAATAATTATTTTTAATTATTAAGTTAATATAAAAATTAAACAATTTTATGCAGCCGAAATAAATACATGTGTATGCACCTCCCCCTTGAGGCTTAATAGTATTAATTATCGGTGCATTTTTTTCCTCCGAGCAAGATTCAAAACCCACCCTTGCAAAATATGTTAAAAAAAAAAAAAGAAATAAATACATGTGTACCAAAGCCACTCGAAAGATGGTATAGTTATTGTTGGATTTGCAAATCCTGATCGACAACTACTGATCGCAGTAAACAGTCGGTACTCGATGGTGAACTTGAGCTTTAGGTGGGTCCATCATCTGGAAGGGACAAACGTTTGGGGGCCAACTACTAAAAAAAAAAAAAACGGTGGGAAAAGAAGGGATATCGTTGCCTCTCGCAGCGAGTATAACCCCACCGGACAGCAAAAAAAAAAAAAAAAAAACGGTGGGAAAAGAAGGGATATCGTTGCCTCTCGCAGCGAGTATAACCCCACCGGACAGCCTGGATTTGGACATGATGAGTTCCACGTGTACGATCGACGTTGAAGCTTAGAAAAACATGTTTTTAGAGTAGTTAGCGAGAACGACGAATCATTTTTATTTTTTTTATTAATTTTTTGATATTCAATGATTATATTAAATCTCAATAGTCACTATTAAAAGAAAATTTTTTTAATAATTATTTTGTTATTTATAAGATTTAAATTTAATATTTTATTTAAATATAATTAAGTTTTTTTTACTAGGATCAACATGACGAATTACCTATTAATTGAAATGAAAAAATTTTTATTTTTTGTAAATAAAATTTTGAGTTTCGTTGAAAGAGATTTTTAGATGTGATTAAATTTTAGATATTTGAGATATAATATAATTGTTTTAGAGATTAATACAAAAAAAAAGAATAATTATAGATAGATTGAAATTTTAAGATAAACATTTTAAATTAATGGATATGATTTAAATTATATTATTAAATTAGTTAATTAATAAATATAATATTATGAATTTTTAAAATTAAAAAAAATAATTGTTTAATAATTTAAAAATTATTTAATGTTTTAAATAACACTAATTATCATTATTTATGTTCTTATGTCTCTTTTATCTACTACTGGCTACGCAATGGTGTCCTTAATTTAACTTTTCAGCCGTTTTATTCAATTAATAAAAAAACTGTTTTTACAGATTGAATTATCTCGACTGTGAAACATAAACCCTAGATAAGGAGCAAACCCCCTGAAATTAAGCCCCCGACAGCGGACTCTTGTTCGATGCCCCCAGTTGTTGCAATGCAAATTGTCCACCCGAATCATGGGCGCGCGTAGCTCCTCCGTTCGTTCGTTTTCCAAGATGCGCCTCTGCCCAATCCCATCTCGGTAGATATTGTATTGAGCCTTACTAGAAACTTAAAAAATTAATTAAAAAAAAATTGTAATTAAAAATAAATTATATTGTCTACAAGTTTTGTCTATTACTACTTTTATTTGTCATTGTTTTGTCGGTAGTTTGTATAAATTTTTTTTATAACACTTTATTTAAAAATAAATATATAATTGCATCTGACCATTCGGGTCAAGTGACTTTCAACCACCTTGAAGTGTATCCCTTTTTCTTTTGGACAGATTCAAAACTATCCCATAACAATTGTTAAAAAAAAAATTTATAATTTATAATTAATTTTGATATTATTGTTATCTATTTCAATTTTCTAAAATAATTAGAGTTTTAATGTACATTTAAAAACTAAAATTTTATCATATTAGATATTAATATCTAAATTTAAAAATTCATTATATATTCTAATATATTAACATTTAATAAGATAATTTTTTAAATTTTAAATTAAATTTTAATTAAATAAAATGACGTAATTTAAAATTAAAACTTCAATTATTTTTTAGAGTTGAGATTTATATGCTCTTTTCCCTTAACTTTTTATGTACTTATATTAATTTTCTTTAATATTTTAATATTTTTAAGATAGTAAAAACAAAGCCTGAGATTTTTTAGAAGATATTCCATGTCTGTCTACGTGGAAACTCATAGATGTTAACAAAGTCCAAGAAAATTACATTACAACAATCATAATTAGTGATCGAGATATTGAAACAGACATTATCAACTCTCTGGGATGAGAAAAGGTTAACAAGATAAGGAGAATCACATTAATTGAAAGGTCAAATTGTAATCTTGTAGGGCCATGTGGTGTCACATGGTGGCTAATGTGACCCATATTGTTAGGAAAATTAAGAAAATTTTGACTGTTTTTTGCTACAATTCTTGAGGCTTCAAAATTTTTAGATTAGTGATAAAATGGCAATAGTTATTACTTAAACGTTAAATTTAGCCCCATCCCTACTGAAAATACTTTTTTTCTGGGGTTTTTCTGGGGTTGGGTTAAGAAACTGAAAATTGGAAAGAGCGAATAAACTGGGCTTGATTAGATGGGTTAATGGAGAGAGGTAATTTACTATGGGCTTGGATTAATGGGCTTGATCCAAATGGGGATGAAAAGCCCGAATTAAGAAAAATTAAATAAAAACGAAGCTGTTGAGAGTGGGATTTGAACCCACGCCCTTTCGGACCAGAACCTTAATCTGGCGCCTTAGACCAACTCGGCCATCTCAACTTTACATTATGGGGAAGGCAACATAAATACATATATTGTATAAGTCAATTTCTACCAGCTATCATGTCTGAGAAATCTCCAGATTGAATTGAAGAATGCAATCGCATGTATTGGACAACATGAAAAATTGTGTCCATCCAGTCTATGATACAGAAAATGGCAAGAGGATATTAGAGAACTGAAAAATGGAATGAAAACAGAACTATGATTTGCATGCATGTCAATGGCAAAAGAGTTGCACAAAGAATATCTGTCAAATAAATTATGCTACGGAAACATTATCCAGCGGTAAAATAGAAAAACTACTTATGTGTTGAACTTGGAAAAAATGGTCCAAGGAAAAAATGGAGTAGAGGTGGCAATATTTTGCATGATCAGGCCTTTTGTTTTCCTTTTCGGATTCTCTCTAGTTCTGCTTCAGCATCTTGCAACCGTTGCCTTAGTGTGGATACTTTCTGCTCTAGTTCTTCCACTGTGTAGTTAGCAGCGGAGGGTTTATATGGCGTCAGAAAATGCGGTGAAAATGCCTTCAGAGCCTCAACCCCAGTAACCTATCACATTCATAAATGTAGCTAGTCAAGGTGGTGATTCCTTAATGTAAAGAAGAATACCTACCAGCAAAGGAACAGTAACAGTTTGCTTTTACAAATTAAATACTAACTAAGGTTGCCTGCGAGTACAGTGCATCTTATGGAAGCAGTAAACAGGAAAATAAATAAATAAATAAATCATGCAACCAAATTTGGTTAAATTTAGTGGCCATATGTTAAGAAGTTTCTGAAACCAATCACATAAATTACTTAATAGAAATATTAAGCAACCAAAATTTCTGCAACAATTGGATGTGGCTTTAAGTAAAAGAGTCACATAAATGTTTACAAGAAAAAAACTATCTGAGCAGCATAGAAACAACTAACCTCTTCAGCCAGCAGTGGCAGCTTAGAGATGTGGAAGTCATCATAGAGCATGTAAAACTGATCAAGGTACTTTTGTTGCATCCGCATTCTTGCCCTTAGCAATTTGGAATCAACATCTATTATAACAAATACCAACTGCCAATAAGTTATTCTTATTTAAGGAAGAAACACAACTGGGAAATGGAATATGATAAACATGGCAACAAGGTAAGTATACCTTCTTCATCAAAAAGTACTTGGTTTATGATAATATTGTGTGTGTCTATCTCAAACTTGGTTAGTTCCTGCACCAGTCTCTCTGTTTCATAGAGAGAGAGGAACTCAGGTATGCAAACGCAGACAAATGTTGTCAAGTCCTGGTAAGAGAAATAGAGAGTATCATATAAAGGAAAACAGCTGCATCAAGGAACTTTGATTGACAAAAAACATGAGGCCAGATGGTAAAATTTTTGGCTAGTTGCATGAGACTTCAGATACTTAGAAAGGGGGACAAAAAGAAAAAGAAGAAAAAGAAGAAGATTTTCAGTCACTTCATAAGTTATTGAGCTTTATTTATAAGCCTATCTCAACCTTTAGTTTATGAAATGGGAGAACCAGGCAGAGAATGTGACCAGGTTATTAACTTGCACTACCTACCTACTTTGATAACTTAACGTCATGCTGAGTTTATTTATGACCAGATTGCTTCTGTTATACTCCTTTCAAGCTCTCTACATACAATTGACTCTATTTGAGGCATTCCTAAAACCATGCAAGAATTGGCTTGGGAAAAGTACTTCCCAGCCAAATTCTTGTGGGAGTGGGTGTCCCCAAGCCAATTTGTGGGTAGATTTAGCTCCCTCCCTCTGTTTATGAATTATGATCTAAAAGTATTCATGTCCAGCAAGAAAGAAAACCAAAAGAGTCCTACATAAGAAAAACAGTTGTGAATGGGTAACTTACTGGATCTTTGAACTGCTTATTGACTTGTTCAATCACATCTTTCATGCCTTCTAGCCTGCCCAAAATTGCATCCTCTCCAAATTCATCATCAATACCAAAAAGACGAGTCATCTGCAAATTCAATTAGAGTGGCAAGGAATGTGATTGCCCACAAGTTGTCATGAAGGTCAATGCAAAATATTAGAGCTTTATCAAACCATCAACTTTCACTAATTAACTACAAGCCCATTGTCAGCTGGAGAACTTAATGATCATACCTGGGTCATTAAGCCACCAAATTTATTTCTCAATGACATCACTTTTGCAAGACCCTTCTCTAACGTTGATGGAAATTGCAATAGTCGAAGTGTATGCCCAGTTGGAGCAGTGTCAAATACTATCACAGAATAATCCATTGTCTGCACCAATCTTCACAAAAGAATAGAGTTTGGACAGGATTAGAAATCAACAGAGAGCTGGAGGAAGCAAAAAAACAAAAAGAGTAAAATGCATAAAAAAACCATCCTCATACAACATGGAAAAAAAAAATCCACAAAAAAAAAAAATCTTGATAAATCAGTTTAACTAAAAGAAATAAAAAAATAAAAAGAATGGATACAGGTGCAACATTAGTTATTTTCCCTCTTAATGAGCTTTTATTGGAGTGCCAATTACTGAGATCAATAGAATGAAACTTAGGAAGTAAAAAAAGAAACTAAGAAAGAAAAAAGTATTAGAAGAATTAATTTGTCTAAGCCACCAGTCAATTACGAACTCTTAGGATCACTAATTTCCTGCTATTAAAAAGAAGAATAGCAACTGATTTTTCAACACAATCAAGGCAAACTAAAAAGAAAAAGAAATTCCTACTTCAGCATCTCTGCAAAGCTCATTGCCTCATCAATTCCTGGAATTGCATTTGCCAACTCAGAAAACAAACTATCCATTCCATCCGGACCACCCACTTCTTCATTTTCAACAGTAGGATCCACCTCCTGGAATGAGTCAAAAACAGAGTAATTTAATACAAATAACATTGAATGAAGCTCAATCAATCAGAAAATCACCTTGTAAAAGTCTTAACACAGAACAAATCCTGCATGCAGAAGCTACGCATCAGGCTACACTGAATTTATTCCTTGATGCAAACACAACTATAATTGTCATCAAAATTCTTTCTTTTAAGTTCAAAAATATCAAACAGGCTGCACAAAGATTTGCTTCAAATCCCGAAATTGATTTGGTCCAACCGCACATAGATAAATATATAAATTTAGCATTGATGACACATAAAAGTGCACCAATCCAAATCTTCAGAAATTCAAAACAAAAGGAATTTCCAATTTGGTTAATTCCAATTCCATCAAAAGGTATCCAACACTCCACAGATCAACAATGAAAGTCAAACAAAAAGATGCAAACTTAATCTTGGCATTCCCAAATTCATTCCATGAACCCAAATTAACACAACATAACAAGTAAAGATCACAACTTTGAAATCCCAAACTACCAAAGAACAGAACCCGAATTCCAAAACCAAAATCAAACAAAACCATTCAATGAAAAAAAAAAGAAGCTTATTACCATGGCATATAGATTCGTGAACCCATTAACCAAAGTAGGCGTTTTGGTGAAGCGTTGCTGAAAGGCATCGCTGAGATTGTGAGCAGGGTCGGTAGATATGATCAGAACCGATTGCCGGACCCGAGACAGGAGGATCGAGAGAATCGAACTGCATGTAGTTTTTCCGACACCTCCCTTGCCACCAACGAACACCCACTTGAGGGAATCCTGGTCCAGTATGTTCTGTATGGATGCCTCCGGCAAATCTTGAGAGTCTGCTGCCATGGTTATTACAAAACAATTAGATTTCTGTGAATCCTAGATATTATTACAGAGCAATTGGATTCTATGAATCCGAGATTGCTGTCTCAGAACTGATTAAGTAAGGATTAATTCCAACTCTGTGGATTCAGGGTATGATTTAAAGGCATCTAGACGTGCAGATTTTTGCTGCCGTCAATATGCTTAACAAAAAAAGGTAAGGAGAGCACGAAAGAGAGAGAAGAAAAAACAAATAATTAAAAAGGTGTTTTGGATTTTTAGAGATTCATGTTTTATATATTAAAATTGTATATTATGTAATTTAAATATTAAAATTATTAAATTATATTTTTAAAATATAATTTGACTTATAAAATATTTTTTATAAAATACATTAAAGTATATTTAAAATTATAAATTTATTAAAATATTAAAATATTTTTAATAAAATACATTTTTTATGTTATTTTAATATAATTTAATAATTATAGAGTACAAACTACACTTTTATTATATTTTTGACTTTGAAAAATAATTAAACTCACAAATGAGTACTCTCCACGTGGAATGAAAATAAATTTATCTTTTAAAAAAAGTACATATAAGTACTTACTTCAAAAAATAATTAAAATTTTAAAAAATTATTTTATTAAATATTAATATTTTGATAGTTAAATTTAAAAACAGATTGTATTAAAATATATAATTAATTTTTAAATTTAAATAATAATATTTAATAAAATGATATTTTAATTTTCAACTATAAATTAAAACTCTAATTATTTTTAAAAATTAAAATTCACATGCATTAATTTCATAGGGTTATGCTATTGGGATAATCTTTTTATCCTATTTTTTTATATAATTTTTACATGTTATTAAATGAGTGGATGCATTCAATATCATGAATTTTATATAAATTAAAAGAATTAATCATTTTAATAACATATTAAATTATAAAATAAATAAATAAAATAATTATCCTAATAACGTTTCCAATTTCATACCTTTCTTTTCTTTAAAAAATGAAGAAAAAATAAGCATGAATTTTTTCGAAAGGAAAAAAAAAAACAAAAATTCAATTGCTGTAATTTTTATTTTTATTGATAAAACAAAAAATATGTAAATTCATATCAAACAGAATTATCGCTAAATTTTAAAATTAAAATTAGTATTATCAGTGGGATACATACACCCCTAGTAAATAGCGTTACACAAAAAAAATATGGAAATTATATATTTTTCCTAAACGTAAGAAAAGAATGAATTTGTCTTTCATCATTTATTTATACTTTACAATGTCATTTTTATTAATGAGGCATTGGGTGTAATTAATTAACATCTATGTTTGCCAGCAATAGCATGCCATTATTGATAAAAAGAAAGGTGACTTTGTACAATCATACTCTGCACACACCTGAGGTTATAAGCGGTTTGGTAATGGAGTGTATCACTCCATTCATAAAGTTGGGTTCAATTCCCTTTTCTCCAAAAATTGTCCTTGATAACAAATATATATATACTCTCATTTCTAAATAGGAATGGGGTAATTTAGTTGTTTTATTTTTTTATTTTAATAAAATATTAAATTTTAACATTTCAATTTCACCTATATTTCAAAAGAGATCAAAATGATAAAATAAAAGGAAAAACATTAATTATTTTAATGAATGAATTTCTTAGTAATTATAAATGGATAAAATAAAACAACTAAATCTAAGGGGGGGACTAATGTACAAAATTTTCACATACAACAATGAAGGAAATTATCCTTCAAAAAACAATGAAGGAAATTAGTACAGAGAGTTGTAGGAAAAGCATGTGGCAACAATGGAGGTGATACAGATGAAGAGTGAAGGAAGCAGTGTAGCATTCAGAAGCCAACCCTCTCCCAAGTACCCTGACAATGTTATTGTTCCATCTGCAATCACTCTTGCCAGAGTTCCAGCTTCTGTTGAAAGCAGCCCCCCATTGTAAGTTCCCTTGGAAAGCCTAGATGACATTACTCGAGACAGGAGTGATAAATTCACACCTGCAACAATGGAATTTTGATTGTTATATTTCTTGAATTCTTGAGTTACTGAATTTTTCTGATTTGAAGTCCTGAAATTTACAGAAAGTACCTTCAAGAACCTCAGCAGATACAAAGGTAATAAGTGCTGAACCAACATATTGGGGCACAGAGTAAGGGATGAGTACATGGAAACTTAGCAGTATTCCAATACATACCATAATTTCAGATGCCAGGACCAGTTGCCTGCAGTCACATTCATGTTATCCTGGATACTTTTTCAATAAAATTGTACTGTTCAGGTTAACTGAGATTGATGTTTTACCTTTCTTCAAACCAGTTGCTGATGTAGTTTCCAACAATAATGTTTACAGGGAGCACAGTTAGTCCTAGACATGCCAGAAAGATAGCAACTCTGCTAGTTGACCATATAAAGTAATATGAAGTGATAACACTTGACTCAGCTACCAATATCTCCATTGCATATTTAAGCATAAAATAAACGAGGAGTTGAACCTGGTAAACAATTTTTGACCATGAGAAATGAACACCAAGATTTTCAAATTGTTATTGAAGGAAACGTAATCTTCAATTACCTTAACAGTCGGTGTTAGTAGCCTATAAGCTAGGGTGATTGAAGTAACAGGTTTATGAATTTTCACTGGAGAATCCTCTCCACCATCATCACTTTCTTCTTCTTCATTTTCCTCATGTTGTTTGGATTTTGAGTTCAAAAGCAACGGCTCCATGAAGCCATTCTCCATGGCATAAGTAACCAATGGCCCTAAAACACACATAAACAAGGTGTTATCCTAAAATTAGGAAAAGAACAGCTAGTTTACTCCACAATGCTGAGTTGTGTTGACAAACCAGCATTAGCAATAGCTTCTGGTGAAACAAGACTGTTTTGGGTTTCAGTTTCATGAGGAGGCTCTCTAAAGGAAATCCAGAGCCAAAGTAAGTAGAGAAGCCAGGAAACAGCCATAAACCAACCAGGGAAAGTTTCTTCATTGAATGTCAGCTTGGAAATCTTAAAATCAGTTTGAAACAAACAAGCAAGAGCTGGCCCACAAGCCATTCCAAGGGCACTTGCAGTCACAAAACCTGCAGAAGCCTTCATCCTCAGCTTATGTGGCACGCAATCAGTTATATATCTCCTGTTAACAGCTCTTGCAGAACCTAGACTGAATCATTCAAATTAAGAATGTCAAGAACTGTTTTGCCTTAAAACTTGAGATGTTAGCAGCATATAACTTACCCACAAAAAAGGCGACCTATCAAAAGAACTGGTAAGGAATTAAGATCATAGGCCAAGGCATACAAGATGTTTCCAACCAAAAGAACAACAGTGCTGAACAGAAGTGGTCTGAAATACGATTTATTAGACCATGCACTGAAATAAACTGAAGAAAACACTTGTGCAACAGCCATGGATCCGATCACAACTCCACAAACAGTTGCCGCAGCTCCAAGGCTTAGGGAGTAGTTATCTGCTGTTGGGACAACAATATATGTGTTCACCATATAAAGGAATGTGTTTACCAAGTTGAGCATAAGTGACATGAAATGGTACTTCTGCTCAAAAAGATCTTCCTCAGATGGAGTTGGTAAATCCTCTTCCAAAATAAATGCATGCTTTCCCAAGTACTCAAGAAAATTTGTTGAATTGGACAGTTTATTTACAGCTGCATTTATAGAGTAAACCACTGGATCCTGCAATTGTTTTTGGCAATCTTCACATACCAAACATGAATAATTAAACATTGCATGATTACTCAAAGAGGGTTTGAGAAAAAACCGGGTGGGATAAAGCAGGTTGATCATAAATGGATACATAGCTCCCACGATGGTTCTGGAGGTCTGCAAGATTGTGAGAAATAGCTCCAACAACAGCTCCAATTCCCTGCACCATGTTCATTTAGCAGCTGATTCATGTTTTGTACAGTAATCTGCGTTTCATTTATTTATTATTAAAAAAAAAGAAAAAAGAAAAAGAAGCTTCTCAGAAAATCCCTATAGAATAGAATTAACTGAAACCAAAGGCTTAATAAAACATTAAAAGGGTTTTATAAAATTGATTAGCTTACCACTTGTTTAAGCATTTGTCTTAGCTGTGAATAAGGATGATTTGAGCGGGTTTTCACATAGTAATTGGTGAATTTATAGCCAAAACGCTTATCGAATTTTTTGAGAATCTTTCTTAAACCAGTAGCATTCATCTCAAGAAAAAACAGAAGCCTCAAAAGATCATTCCCAACAGCTCTGTAAGCTTCTTCTATCTCAGATATATTTAATCCATCTGGCTGGTCCAAAACATCATGATGCTGTTCTCCAAGACCTGACAATCTACTTGCAAGTTGTCCTTGTTGTTGCAGTAGAAATAATACAATCTTCTCAATCTAAAAGTTTCCAAAAACAACCAGAAGAAGTAAGAAAAATTTTGTTTCTTTAATATATTGGTGCCATCAGTGACGGTTTTACCTCTCTGTCTAGCATTATGGAGAAGTCCTTAAGAACATCATGGTGGCCTTGTACTCCCACTTCCAATTGCTGTGCATATCGGTTTACTTTCTTCTTCAAACACTTGTAGTCAATATAATATCTGAAGAAATATATATATATATATATATATATATATATGGAGAGAGAGTGAGAATCAAATTTCAAGTTTGCATAGTTGAAGAAAATCAGCGGTTTCTTCTTGGCATATGACAATTTTCTTACATTGATTATTATACTAATGAAACATACCCTTGCCATTCTGGAATTCGTGATGCTTTCAACTTCTTCCCAAAAGCAACCATTTTCCAGGCAAGCACAGATCACTATTTAAGAGAGACCAAAAAAAGAGAATGTAAGACTCTAGTTTACTTGGAATGGAGTAGATAAAAAACTATGAATGGAATCTAGAAATTTAAGTATTTAGACTCTAGTTGAGGATTCAAGCAATGTCTACAACTGAAGCAAAGTATTGGTTTTCAAAATCAAAGCAAATCAGAATTAATTGATTGATTCACTCCATCAAGACTCGATCAATTGATTTCCAAAATAACCACTAAAGCTTTAAATCAGAATCTTGAGTGCATGATTATGGGATCCACAGTTACCTCTACAAGACTCAATCAAGCATTAAAGATCAAAATGAGTGATTATTGACAATTATGGTGTAATTAATGTTCAAATTCCATATTGTAATTGTATATATAAATGGAAATCTACTACCGCTTTTGTCATCCAGAAGAAGGGCTTCTTTCCTTACAACTCATATTTCAAATTACTATCTTACAAAAAGTTCTCAATATAGAAAGTTGTAATCTTGGAAAGAAGAAATCTTTTATTTCCTTCGTGCTCGTCATTCTGACTCTCCATATATACAAACGGACATTGGGATTGATATGAATGAAAAATTTCCAAAAGAAAAAAAAAAAATGAAACAGAAAGCATAAACCCTAAAACTCCGTAACAGAAAGATTACCAGAAACAGAAGTTGAAAATAGAGGACTCTGTTTTTCATGTTGTTTTTTGTGCATGGAAAATGAAGCAGAGGAGTGAAGAAGGAGGAAAAAAAAAAAAAAAGATTCAGGGATCAAAGTGAATATCCAGAGAAAGAAACTGCAAGGAGGGTGTGGCGAAAATCGCGCCAAATTTGTAATGCAGTTACTAAGTTGAAGAGGAGACTGAGTAGTTGGCGGGACGTGGCTCTAATGGTGAGTTTACAGGTGTATGCCACCCCCCCCTCAAACCCACAATTCGACTCCTAGTATCATTTTTCCGGTTGGAGGTCGGAGCGGTGATCTCTGCACACTGAATTTCATAAACATGAACTCAGCCGACAACAAAGATCAATCAATAAGCTAAAGAGGATCTTAGCATTATAAAAGGAAAGAAAGAAGAGAATCAAATCATATAATAATTGGTCTGATGGTAGAAGGAAAGAATATTACATTATTACGTAGTTGGGTGAATTAAAGAGAAATTAATTTATCAATGAATTCACTTTAAGAATTTAAAATTGATTATAATCTTACTAATTAGAGATTTTTAATTAATTATTATTTGTTTATATTATGTATTTTTTCATCCTATAAATAATATCATATATTTTTTATTTTACCTTGTATAAATAACCCTTAACCTTTATTCATATATCATATAATTTTTTATTTTTACCAAAAAAAAAAAAACAAATTACTATTGCTATTGAGCTACTTAAACCATTAGCATAAATAGTGTTGTTAAGAATACGATAAAAAGAAATAAATATGTTAAGTCTACAAAGGCACATATCCTGTCTTCCTCTTTTTGCTAAATTTATTTTTTTTATATTTTTTTATCTTATTGTTATGTTATCATGGTATTTGAGATTTCCTCATTTCTTCATAAAGCATGTGTAATAGAAGGGGTTAAGAAACATCATATACTTTAGAGGTTTTATACTGAAAATGAAACAGTAAACTAATCATGATTAAGAACATACAATTTCAAAGTAAAGATCTTCTTAAATTGAAAATTTTAAGGTGAGTGGAGAGGAATTATGAGGAGTGAATAGTTATTTTTTTGTTATATGGCACAATGACCTAATGTACTAAAAAAAATTGGGCAGGCAAACACAAATGACTTACAAGCAGTTCAGCTTGAGCAGTTCTTCGGTGGGGGAATTACAAATCCTTCAAGACAACCTTGGAAATATTTGTTTGAAGCTTCTGTTTATCTGCAACAAGAGAGACACGAAAGAAGAGGTAACTATATAAAATGGTGCGTGGGGGTGCTTGGCATGAACCAGTTGCATTTACATAGTACATGAAGAAATAAAAAACAATAATACTTCGTCTTTGAATACTATTCACCATATATATAGTATACATGTCGACCAGTGCTTACTGATTTTTTCCTCTTTAGAATAATGGAAGGTAGCACTGAACATGGGAAAAAGAATAAAAAATCTTCTTTGTTTTTCTTTGCTTGCAACTTCAAGAGATGTACATCGATCATCGTATATTCCTTGGAATCATTTTAAGCAAGTACAAACCATCTGCTCATCTCCGCCACAACTACCTAACTGTGTTTACTGACACAGTCTTGGAGATGCTTCAACGCTTCCAATGGATATTCCTTCGAGTAGAAAACGAATGGAATAAGATTACAAAGGGTAGCCCTTTCCTTTGTATCCTTGTATTGATGAAGACATTGCATCAAACCTCATTTTCACCATCTTGATAATATCTTCTCTAAATAGATTTTCCCAACATCTTGATAGCTACTTCAGATCAAACCTAATTTTCCTCTGACATCTGTGAATTAGCTAGCTTCTGGTGTTTGGTGTTTGGTGTTTGGGATTCATGGCAGCACATTAAAGCTTATTTTTAAAAGTATCAAGAGTACCCCGTGCTAAGGCCATAAAGAGGGTGAGGTCAAAAACACAATCAAAGTTAGACATCAGCAGTGTTAACATAATAATATCCAGACCAACAATATGTTGATATGAGTGAAAAGATTTTAATTTTTTAAAATAAAGTTTTGATTTTAAATCTTATAAATAAAAAAATAGTAAAATTATAACAAATATGGAGAGAATTTTTCTTTATAAAATTCAACTTAACTCAATTATGAATTAGTAAAATTCAGTCTTACTTTTAAATACCAATAAATTAGTTCTAGTATCAAAAAAAACATAATAATGTTCATGATTTGTATTGCCATAGAAATTGTTATTGTGGTGATAATCCACTGATGGATCATGGATGGATGGTGGTTGTGATGAATTTTGATTATTAACATTACTTAACATAAAATCTAAAAATGACAAAATTTGTGTTTAGTGAATCATCGTGATTTAAAACATCTCTATAGATGTGAAATTTTATTTGTTATTTGTTTCACATGACTTTGACATTCAATGATCATGAAAGAAATTGCAGATTCCTCAAATAATTCCGTATCATTTTCAGCCTGAAATTATGCTCCACAAAAGGAGCATATGGACGGAACTGTATCTGTATTCTGTACCAAGCCTCAAGAAAGGGGATTGATGATGATGGTGACACAGGAGAACGGGTGAAAATTGTAAGGTCCGTAGAGAAATGGATTTTCAATTCCATTCTAGTTCTAGGATGGTTCAAATACCCATTTGGTTAATTTTCAGATTTGTACTGAAATTATTTTAATATGAAAATGATCTTTTCATTAACAAAAATATCATATAATTTATTATTTTATTATAAATCAATTTTTTTAAATATTAATAATGTGTAAAATCAAATAATTATATTTTATCATTATAACATATTTCTATTTACATATTAAATTAATTATAATCAAAATTAAAATACTAAATTAATATTTTTAATCAAAATTCAAAAACTGAATTGATACTTATTTTTAAAATTTAATAATTAAATTAACATTTATCTTCAAAATTTGAGGACCACTTTAGCTCTAAAAATTGAAATTCGTTAATTCAAAGACAATTTTAATAGTATTCAAAATTGTGAAATAATTTTATTACAAATTTAAAAGTTGAGAAAATATATATTTGTTGAATTTAAATTTTAAAAACAAAATATTGCAAAAAAAAAAAAACAAAAATACATATATTAAATTTAATATTTTTAAAAAATTTAAGAGTAACTTATCAACGGCAAAAAAAAATTCCATTAACCAATTAACATAATATTTACTAAGTAAATCATTTTAAAACAAAATTAATAGTTTATAAATTATTTTAAAAGAAACAATTGTTTATAAACTAAATTAAAATAAATCACATAATTAATAGGCTATTTATTAAATTTAACTTTTAACCTTCTAGAATTACAACCTCATACCGTGTCTCCATTTTCAAGCTCAAAGAGACTGCTAGATTTAACTTTAAAACTGCCGATCAAAAAA